TCGCATTTAGCTCCAAAACTCTGGAATGGCCTTCCCGATACGGTCCGAGCCTCTGACTCGCTGACACAGTTTAAAACTAGATTAAAGACGCTTCTCTTTAGTCAAGCATTCACATAATGCTTAACCTTTATTCCTGTTGAGTCAGATCGAATGCATTTAATATTATGAACATCAGCTATGCTAATTATTTCCCATCTGCCTTTCTGCTGTTATCTCAGGACGCCAGTTTGTATCCATCCTCTCACAGAGACTTCAGATGCCCCAAAACCTGCGATGAGACGACTCAACGCCTGTGAAGAGACGACTCAACGCCGGCGATATGTTATGCCCTAAATTATTACATGATTAACTACATGTTTTTCCATGTACATTTCCTGCACTTTCTGTAAAGCTGCTTTGAAACAATATGTATTGTGAAAAGCGCTATACAAATAAATTTGGATTGAATTGAATTAATGAGTAAACAATTAAGTTAATCGTTCGTGGTAGTGGCTGTCTAAAACGAGCTTCTAGTCTAATATTCCTGCTTTTGATAAGTGACACACTGCTGAGTCCGGCGGCGCGCAGGTAGGTCGTCAATGCGGAGCTGGTTAGCAGCACTCTCTCGTCGCCATCGGTGGTCGAGAAGGTGGCTTTCCCTCCAAAACATGTCGAGAAAGTTAGTTACGCCTGCTTGAGGTTGCATCTCTCACAGCTGTGTCATGGACTTCTCTAAGAACGCCGTCTGTTTAAACTGACAGCTGGAACACTTTCGCTGAATCGTGACGTTGATGCCCTTCAAAGTGGCACTGAAAAGCACCTTTGATCCATCCTCCTCCTCGCCGCCTGCTCCGTATGAAACTTCCAAATCTGCGATCTGCTCAGCCTGGTTAACATAGCTGTCCCACAGCGTCACGCTGATCTCGCCCGTCCCATCGTAGATTACTACTTCTTTGAGCTCAATGTCTGAGCCTTTGACCGTCACCATTCTGCTTAAGCATCCGTGTACTGGAACCTTTGCACTGACCTCTCCTACCTGCATAAATAAACCACAAAGAAAACGTTACTTTTCTTTTTCAAAGCCCTTTATAGTTTATAATCATGTATTGATTTTATTTATATAACCATTAATGACGGAGTATTTTAAGTTCATGTTGCAGCTATGAGAAAAAAAATCAGCAAAACGTGCCAGCGCGTTACTCGACCTCAGAGGGTTGACTGAATATCCTCTTACTACACAATAATATACATCACAATAAACAGAATTACAGTAAGATTTAATTTACATTTTAACCTATAACATTTAGATAATGTAAAAATAAAATTTTTCTCACTTGGCTGTTTAAGAGCGTTTGTAATTTCCGTCCACCTTTTCTCTTTCTCGAAGCGGTTAGGGTACATCTCATGTCTAACATCATAAAGTCATTCATGCTCCTGCCACAGTTCAATTAAATTTTGCTCCAAATCCTGAGTCCATTGCTTTCTTGACGACATGTTGCTCATCTTTCTGAAACTCGTCTTCGGGTTTCTTTGAATATTGCGCATTCCGCATTAGGCTTGGGCGGTATTACGGTAATATCGTATACCGCGGGATCTAAAAATAGCAACGGTGTCAGTTTCAATACCGTCATAAAAAATCCAATGCATTAATATAGGAGACAAGAATTAAATATAATTGATGTATTGCCTAAAAATGCGCATGCGTGGTTGTCATCACGTGACAGCGTGGGACGAGAAAGAGAGAGCGGTAGAAAGATGGTGAGTCGTGCACCTAGTGACCTGGTCGCAAAAAAGAAAACAACTTCTGCAGTTTGGCAGTATTTCGGGTTTCGACCGAATGAAAAGGGAGAGGCGGTAAATATGGACGAGGCAATTTGCAAATTGTGCAACAAAAAAGTGACCGCGAAAGACGGAAACACCTCGAACCTAAGGACACATATACGAAACCACCATCCACTCACTGCTGCGAGGATGGAGTCGAGTTCACTCAGTGCAACAGTTTCAACGCCTCCAGATTCAGGACCAACAACATCTAGGTCCACCGCCAGTATGCAGCAGCCGACGATAATGGGGGCCTTCGGGAAAACAACAAAATACAAAAGGGACAGTGTCCGTTGGAAAACCCGTACTGATGCTGTGACAAAATACTTGGCGAAGGAAATGGTCTCTTTCAAAACAGTGGAAAAAAAGTCCTTTCAGGACATGGTAAAGGTACTAGACGGCCAGTACGAGCTGCCTGGACGGAAATATTTCTCACAAACAGCCGTTCCACATTTATATATTAAAGTTAGAGACAATGTTCAAGTGCTGCTGTCAGCGGCAGACAGTTATTCCTTAACAACTGACATGTGGTCTTCAGTTAACATGATGCCATATACTGTATGTCCCTGACTGTCCACACTATTACACCTGACTGGAAACTTGAATCCAAATGCCTCCAAACTTCGTATTTTCCTGAGAGTCATACGGCGGACAATCTTGCTACTGCACTCAGAGCTGCACTTCAGGAATGGCAACTGGAATTTCGTTTATTTAGGCCTATTTATTCATTCATTCGTTTATTTTGGCCAATTCATTCATTCACTCATTCATTCATCCATAAGTTTATTTAGGCCTATTCTTTCGTTCATTCATTTATGCCTATTTATTCAATCATTTGTTTATTTAGGCCTATATTCATTAATTCAATCGTTTATTCATCATTCATTAATTAATTTATCCATCCATCCACCCATCGTCAGGACTGCGCCACTCGCTGGGGCTCCAAACTGGCAATGGTGGAGCGCATCCTTGAACAGGCCCAAGCGATCAGACACGTCCTGTCTGATGACAGAAGGAGCAACCTGTCCCTGACCTGGCAGGACATGGACGTCTTGAAAGCTGTTCAAGAAGCACTGAAACCAGTCGGTGACTTCACTGATATTTTGTCAGGAGAAAATTATGTGACCAGTTCCTGTATCCTGCCCATACTAAAGCTCTGCCGGGACAATGTGTTGGGTGTGTCAGAAAATGACCTCCAGCTAACAAAGTCAATAAAAACTGGAATTCTAACCAAGTTGGAGGCCAAGTATGAATCCGATTCAGTGCGCAAAATAATGCGAAAATGCACTTTCCTCGACCCTCGTTACCGTGGACAGACTGATCTCATGAAGTAGCGTGTGTATGACACGGCAATTCGTATTTCCATTTTTGGCGTGCTATCAAGACGCATAATTGCCTTTCAGCGTGTTTATGAACGCCGTTGAGTTAACGTTATATAAATATATGACTTACCTCAACCCCGTCCCTAAACCTAACCGTCACTGGGGTTAATGGCATTTATGACTGTTCCCTTACCATCCTAGGAAAGAAAAAGATATGACTTACCTCAACCCCATCCCTAAACTTAACCGTCACTGGGGTTAATGGCATTTATGACTGGAGATTTGACTGCGTGTTCGGACACGCGGAATGACGCGGACGTTAATGGCGTAGACATATACGCATACACGTGGATACACGCGGATAGCTCAAAATGCGTAGAGATAACACGCCACCTGGCGCAAAAGTGGCGTATATGTTTACGCAAAAGTCATGATGTCATGTTGCCGTGGAGGATATGAGACGAATGATAACGCATTGGCTGAGACCAAGGCAGAATTACAGGCTGAGATCATGAGCTTAGAGGCAGCGGGTCCAGTGGCTATCAGAGTGGAAGAGGGAGAGGCCCAACCCGAACCCCCCAAAAAAAAGATGACTCTGGGAAGTATGCTTCAAAAAACGGCCGACGCAATGGCAGGTCCCGTCGGCATCGGCACCCTAGAGGACCGAGTCGGAGCTGAAATAATAGCCTACTCTTTGGAGCCAGTAACTCATGGAGACGAGGACCCACTTCTCTGGTGGAAAAATGCTGCAGGACGTTTTCCACAGATGTCGCGAGTGGCACGAAAGTACCTGTGCATCTGTGCCACAAGCACACCATCGGAGCGAGTTTTCAGCGCCGCAGGTAAAGTTGTCGGTCCACAGCGTGTTCTGTTAAAGCCGGATAAAGTGAACATGCTAGTTTTTCTCGCAAAAAATCTTGACTAGATTTGATGTCACTTGCCATTCATTCCTATTCGCACTGTGTTCACTTTTATTTAGCCTATTTAATTGATTCAGGTTTTCGTTAAAAACAATATTGTAAAAAAGAAGATTTTATTTAGATTAAAATTTATTTAGTTTTTATTTAGGCCTATTGCTTTGCAATATTTTGGGTCTATTTGCACTTTTTTTATAAGCAGCTATTTGTTATTAAAAGTTGTTCGGGCAGTGTGATTTAATTTAATTGATTTGTGTGCGCGTCTCTGCGCGAAAACTGTTCTGGATGTTTATGTTAATTTAATTCTGTTTGACTTTTGTATTTGTACTTTTTAATAAGATGCTATTTGTTCCTAATAAAAGTTGTTAATATTGTTGTGCATGTTATTTTGGTATTGTTTCAGTAGGCCTATAGTGTTTGGTAGGCCTATT